ATTTTTTTTTTTTTTCATTTTTCATTTTTTTTTTTTATTCTAGTTACCAAATGCCTTCACCAACAGAACAAGCATCATCCGAAACTTTAACTACATCAACAACAACATCATTACCTATAAAAGATGGTATGGAAATATCTCAGGAAAATGTCTCACATGTGAACCCCGATGATAGTAACGAGACCACAAACCTTGATAATAATAAAGTTCAAGAAGAAGAAGAACAAGAACAACAACCACAACAACAACAACAACAACAACAACCACAACAACCACAGCAGCAGGAACAGCAGCAACAGCAGCAGTCCCCGCAACAACAGCCGCAACAGCAGCAACAAGAAGAGTCCAATACTACAAATACTACTGCTATCACAAATACAAGTGCTACTACTACTACTACTACCACTAATGTTGTCGCTATGGAAACATCATCATCACCATCTCACATGACCGATGTTCCCATTGTTAATGAAGATGTTAATGCACCGACAACGACTTCTGTTGCATCTACCGCTTCATCGAATGATTCTAATACTACTCCTCCTACGACACAAGATACGACGCAAGAAATATCACAAGATATCTCACAAGATACTTCAAAGGTTTCTTCTAATAGTCCAAAAAGAAAATATAATAAAAGAATACCAAAAGAGGATCCACCACGTAGAAGAACGAGAAATACTTCAAAAGCTGCAATAAATCCTATATCAACTCCACAAGAAGATGAACCTTCAAATTTAGCAACTAGAAGACCATCTTCCGCTTCTTCTTCAAGAAGAGGTACTACTTCCTCAAATGTTGAACACGTTGAACGTCAACTTCCTTCAAAGGAAGGAATAAATCAATCAAATATTTCCGATCGTTTCGTTGAATTTATTATGTATTGCAACCCGTTAGCACCCGAAAATTTAGATAAAGTAGCACTTGTCAGATCATTTAATGCCGTCCCAAAATCTGATGGTAAAGTATTTCAAACTTGGACTCTTTATCAACTTGTTGATAAACATTATGCTGGCGAAATTCGAACGTGGACAAAGTTGGCACAAAAATTGGGCGTTGTACGTACCCCTGAGGCTAGTCCTCAAAAAATTCAACAATACGCTGTAAGATTGAAGGTTGGTGTATTACTGTAATACCAATTAAATTATTATATCCTTATAATCGTTAGTTTTTTTCCTTAAAAATCTCTTCGCTTTTTTCTTTCATTATTTTTTTTTTTTTTTTTTTTTT